GGATTACGGGATTTTGCTCGCGAACTAGTAGGCGCTGTGGGATCCGAGGTGAGTCATCGCCTCGAGAAGACTGAGCGTTTTTGTGTCGGCGCCATCGAAGGCGTCAAGGTGGCCGCTCCCAAGGAGGAGGAGGCCYGTCCTCGCAGGGAGCCAGTCAAAGTCAAATTCCCTGATTCCTAYARYGGGAAAAGGGAAGAGAACTTTGACAATTGGGAGGCCAATGTTAAGACGTATGTGCATTTGCAACAGGTCTCCCCGGATCAACAGGTCTTAATTGCGATCCATGCACTTAGAGACGAGGCCGCCAATTTCGCGAGATCCCTTGTTCGTGCTGCCAACTGTAGTGACGATCGAGTTGCGTACTCCTCGTTTACGTCCCTCATTGAATTCTTGAAGCTGCTGCGCGAGCGATTCGCCGATGTTGCCCGTAGTGTCAAAGCCTCAGATAGGCTTCAGACAATACACTCGCGCCAATGGAAGAGTGCAAGGGCACTCAAAGGCACAATGGATGAGTTGGTGGCTGTTCCTGACCACAAGGTCACGGAAACCCAGTTGGTCAACCTTTTCTACCGGGCTATGCCCGAAACGCTGCGTGGTCACTTCTTTGACAAGAGTCAAGACCCTGCTATGACTTATGATATACTTAGCAGGGAAGTGCTCGCGCTCGAGGCGAAGTCTGCGTCGATTTCCACCTTCTGGCACAAAGATTTAGACGAGGGCAAAAAGTGGAAGGGCCGCACTATCTCAGGGCAAGTCAAGACCAAGGATAGCCTTGTGCTCACTTTAGATGAGGGTAGTGTGGACGAGATCCCCTACGACCAGATTGGATGGGGGTTCGAGGAGGAGGACAGTAGTGTGGGCCAGGGGAGGACTTACGCTGCTGTCGCGGCTAGAGGGAGGCCGCAAGGAGGACGAGGCCAAGGCCAAGGGGGCCGGGCCTCAGGGAGCCGGTTCCAGGGCGATCAGGGGGTTGGCGGCAGAGGAGGGAACCGCCAAGCGGGAGGTAGGGGTCAAGGTCCCCCGCAAAACCGTCCTAGGAACAGGTCTCCCTATAGAGTAGCAGGATGGCACCCAGGGCTACCTCAGGGTAGGTCGTGGGAATCTTTGGGTCTGGACCAGGCTTTATGGCAACAATGATTGAACCGGGGCCAGTGCATTTTCTGCGGTGACCCGGGGCATATCATCAAATATTGTCCTAAGTATCGAGAGACCCGAACGGCTGCTCAAGAGCCAAAAGGCAGCCGCCGGTAGGGGTAGCAATTGCCCCTACCACTAGGCCATGTGGGGAAAATAGCGCTAGCCGGCAGGAGACTCCCACACCACATGTGCCTATGGCAGAGGTTGCAGGCCGATGTCTAGACAGCTGTCCCGAGACTGCTTGTGTTAGAGTTTCGCTAGACACCTCCCGCCTGGGCCAAGATGAAGAAGGAGAATAAAGGGCAGCTGATTTTATTAGATGCAGAGATTTTTAGAAGTAGAGTAGGGGCCCTAGTAGACTCAGGGGCCACCCGCAGCTATATTAGTAAGCAAGCGCTGCAAAAGTTGAGGCTGGGACTTAAGGTCCAGAAACTGACAGACCCCATAGTTAGTATCCTCGCGGACAATCGTACCATGGTTGTAGAGGATTACGTAGAGGGAGTTCAGGCGTATTTCCGCCTAGAGAAAGATGGGAAGGTGGAGAAGGTCCTCCACTCCCTGACTCTCCTCGTAGAGGACAGCCTCCCGTTTGATATAGTACTGGGAATGGATTGGGGAGAATCAGTCGGGGCAACGCTCCATCTGAAGGAACACGAGTGTAGACTCCCTAGTTCTGCAGGCGAGGCTAAGACTGCCTGCCTGTTTCATGTGTCAGGAGTAGAGAATTCCTTGGCACATTGCTGCCTTAGTGCCCCTGCGTTCGCCAAATTGGTGAAGAAGGAGAAATTAGAGGAACAGGTCTTTATTGCCTATGTTAGGCCCGTCACTGAGCCTACGGAAGAGAAGCCGATGGACCCTGCGATTGCCAAGCTGCTGGAGGAGTTTAAGGATTTGACTGAGCCGCCGACAGGCACGGTGCCACGGCCCATCCAGCACCGTATCGAGATAGAGCCTGGCAGTAGAACTCCTAAGGGTGCTGTGTATAGGATGTCCCCGTGGGAGTTAGAGGAGCTTCGCAAGCAATTAGACGAGCTCCTCCAGAAGGGTTGGATTAGGCCCAGTTCGTCTCCTTTCCGAGCGCCTGTTCTCTTTGTTCCTAAGAAAGAGGGAGAGCTGAGAATGTGCATAGACTATAGGGGTCTAAATGCTATTACAGTAAAGAATGTTGAGCCACTACCTAGGATCGACGATCTCTTAGATCGAGTGCAGGGGGCTAAGTATTTCTCTACGATAGACTTAAAGTCCGGATATCATCAGATAGAGGTACACCCTGATGATCAGTATAAGACAGCCTTCCGGACTAGGTACGGGCATTGTGAGTTTATAGTGATGCCCTTTGGACTAACCAATGCGCCAGCAACTTTTCAGCGGTGTATGAATGATTTGTTTAGGCCGTGGTTAGACAAATTCGTTGTAGTATATCTAGATGACATCCTAGTGTTTAGCCGGACCCTCGAAGAGCATCAGGGTCATCTCAGGCAAGTCTTGGAGAAGCTAAGAGAAGTTAACTTCAAGATCAATGCAAAGAAGTGCGATTGGGCGAAGACCCAAGTTTTGTCTCTAGGCCACGTCTTAGACGGAGATGGCATTAAGCCAGAAGATAGCAAGATCGCAGCGATTAGAGATTGGCCCACGCCACGTACGCTGACAGAGTTGCGCTCGTTCTTGGGCTTAGCGAATTACTACAGGAAGTTCGTAAGGAACTTCTTCACCATCGCTGCGCCCCTTCACAGATTGCTGAGAAAAGAGACAATCTGGAAGCGGGACAAGGACTGCACGTCCGCCATGAAGAAGCTAAAGCAGGCGTTGATAGAGTATCCGGTCCTTAAGGTCGCCGAGCCGTCCTTGCCTTTTGTTGTTACTACGGATGCTAGCCAGTACGACATAGGCGCAGTGTTACAGTAAGACGATGGCAATGGCTATAGACCCGTAGAGTTCATGTCCGCTAGGATGCCTTCAGAGAAGGTTGCGACATCTACCTATGAGAGGGAACTCTATGCTCTCAGGCAAGCATTAGAGCACTGGAAGCACTACTTGCTTGGGAGGCACTTCAAAGTCTATTCGGACCATGAAACGTTACGGTGGTTAAAGACCTAGGCCAAGATGACACCTAAGCTTACTAGGTGGGCCGCAAAGATAGATCAGTACGACTTCGAGCTCAATCCTGTCAAAGGGAAGTACAACGTAGTCGCGGATGCTCTGAGTAGGAGAGCAGATTACATTGGGGCAATAGTACATTACCTCGATATAGGAAAGGATCTGCAGCAGAAGGTTAGAGAAGCCTACGCGCAGGACCCTATCTATAGTGAGCTCCTCACGCGAGTCAAGGAGGCCCCAGAGACCGAGCCGAACTACCGCACTACTGGAGGGTTACTCTTCGAGAAGACTAATGTCTTTGACCGGTTGTGCATCCCCAATAGCGAAGAGATCCGTAGTCTGATTATGGGGGAATGTCACGACACAGAGGGTCATTTCGGTTGGCAAAAGACTTTGGCCAATCTGATGCGCGCGTATACCTGGCCAGGGATGAAGAATGACTGCGTAGAGTATGTTCGCAGTTGCAAGGTCTGCCAGCGTAATAAGTCTTCTACGCGTGCCCCGTTAGGTCTTCTCAGACCCTTGCCCATTCCGGATCAGTCGGGAGACTCAGTGTCAATAGATTTCATGGACACTCAAGTCAAGAGCAGGCATGGCAAGAGCCAAGTCATGGTCATAGTTGACCGCTTTAGCAAGTACGCAATTTTTGTTCTTTTGCCTTCTGAGGCGCGTACTGATTTAGTCATACAGAGGTTCTTTGACTGTTGGGTTAGTGAGAAYGGAATCCCGCTGTCTATAGTTAGCGATAGAGATAGTCGCTTTACTAGCCAGAACTGGCAAGAACTCATGGGAGTATACGGATCTAAGTTGTTGATGTCGTCCGGCCGCCATCCAGAGACTAACGGTCAGACAGAGCAAATGAACAAGATCCT